GCAATGTTCTTCCGACGTCTGATTTCCTTTTAAAAAATGCATTTCTAAAGTGCATAAACTTTTGGGATTGACTGTATAGCCAATACATCCTTAACATAAGAACTACCGATTCGTTGGTGTTACAAAGTTAATGAAGATGTCAAGTCACCATCCCGTTTTTAATCTGCCAGTTAAACCAGAATTCCAGATAATAGGTATCCAGATAAATGGGCTCCCGTGAGTCGGGAAATTACTATAGTCGTTTCCTGGGTTTAACAACGCCGTAAGTTAGAGCTGAAAGAGTGTATAACGACCTGCGTAGTATCATTGAAATCGTGAAGACGCACTTCGATCTTCAGTGTTAAAACCGTTATTCCCCGTTCAAGATTTAAGGTCGAGCAGTAAACTCTTAAATGAAAACGCTGTCCCCCGTGCATTAATCCTTTCCTTTTTTTAAGTGAAATTGTTGCGTAGGCGTAAATTGCGAACACAGTTAAATTAGTAAACGCCTCCCACGCCTCGCGCTATGATACGAATTAACTATCACAATTTGTCCGATATAAATTCTAAGATAAAATGATAAACTCTAACGAACGTATTATATCTGTACAACCAGATAAAACGCGGCAGAAGAAAAAATGATAATTGATGAGCTGAAATAATGCTGAAATAAAACGTCGAAGAATTTTTTTTTAGTAATTAACGTAACCTAATTAGTGTGGCATTGTGTGTTCGAGGGAATTCGGTCATTCTGGTACAAGATAATACGTGCTAATTCTGCGACGCCCGCTAACGAAGAACGTGGCAAATTGAAAAATGAACCGGCACCACATCAGCTTCGTTTTTTTTTTAATTATTCAATCCAAATCCGTGCAGGAGACAAAGGAAAGTTCCCGTGGAAGCAGAGCTTTTATAATGGTCCGGCTTAAAGGAGAAGAAAAATGTATGCCAAAGATAGCGGGCTCGAGAAACGCTGGTTCGCCGATAAGGCGACGCAGAAAGAGGGGTCCAGGGGATGGAAACATACCGTGAAAGGAGATCAAGAAAAGAAGGTAACGCACAAAAGGGAAAAGCCAGAAGAGGAGACCGACTTTGAGAAATGCGAAAACCTATAAACTAGGACTTGGAAAAAGAGTAATATGCGCAATGAGAAAAAAAGCCGAACAGAATTCTACGAACTAAAAGATAGAAACTCATCTAAGCTAAAAATATGTTATTTGTTGATAAATACTGAATTAACTATATACATAATGCATGCTGGCTAATTACATTTTAATGACGACTAATCTAGGATTAAAGATAAGCGACGTAAAAGATGAACCGGGCAAAAATTGGAAATGATGAAAGAGAATTCCCGTAATCTCGACGATTACACGGGAAGTCGGTAATCGTTTAAACTCAGTTATAAGGTTCTACGTAAGTCTGTATTATGTTGTGTATAGAGAAATTGTTACTCACGCTTATGTTCGGGCCGCCTTCCGTCATCGTTTCAAAGTTTCTCTTGCGTTCTTCTTACTGACAGTAGTACACCCACTTTTTTTCTTGCACATGGCAGTTTGCACTTTCGTTTTTATTTTCACTTCCCTACTTTCTTTTTCTTTCCTTTAACTACAAAAATTAGCGTGTAACTATCACGGGAATGGAAACGGTCTTGTGTTAATTAATACAATTTTTACAATATTCGAGAGCGCAATAAATGAACTATTGATAATTATTCTCAAAGCGATTCGGTATTAAAAACTTGTAATGTTAATTCGGGGATTGTACCACCAGCACTTTCATATTATTAGCTCTATACATATAGTGAGATTTGAACTTTTTCTGAGTAATCTCCCGATTTCCATAATTTTCTCTCATCCCAGAGATTATTTCAGGGGAAAGAACGAAAGTCAGACGAAATGAAATACACAACTTCTTACTTGAAACAAATTACTTCATTAATCACAACTTTTAAATTTACTTTTTCATCCGTGGGATTACTGCGTGCGCCCTTTAACCTCTGGGATAATTAACGTATATTAATTCTCGATACAACATAAACGCGATAGTCAATTATTATAAATTTGGAACATCTTTAAAAATATTTGTCGACCTCTTTAAGAAAGAGATATCGCTTTCCGTATTGGACAAATAAAAACGCTCCATTAATCAAATTATGACTTCTCGAATCCGTAAAATATATTGTACTTTTGTCATAAAATTACTAATCCCCATTTGACTGCATGATTTTCATTATTTCATTTACAAAGATAATAACGTTAATGGGATTAATTTAATCTTTATTCTTTGGGATTAATTTATCTACTGAGTGAAATGTCATAAACATGTGACTAATTTATATTATACTAATTTATAACCAAGACTGAATTATTAACAATTCATCCTTCGGAAATTGAAATTAAGGTTATAATTTTATATCAGTATTCTATGCATACGTAAACCTATTTGTAGACTACTGTAGAAGAGCGCCAAAGAAAGCAGACAAGTTTATTAAGCGCGGGAACGCGAGTAACGGTAGAAAAAAGAAGGCTCGCCTGACTCAATGGATTTATACCAAGAAAAGCTTCTTGCGACATGTACCGTAGTATAATGAATGCTTACATCAATTTATTTTTAATATTACGAAACGAACAATCTTATACAATCGACAAAGTATACATAAATACTCACAGAGACAATGCACGATTTCTGGTTCGAAGAAATGTCTTTCAGCTTTCATTATTTGACCTACTCCATTCCCGTAGATGTCACAGCTTAAACAACGTCGAAAAACATGACCCGATTGACATTTCTGAATCGCGTACTCGACATCGCACTTTCTCCGTCACGTAACCGTCTTTTTCTGTATAGTCCTTGTGCGCGATATGAATGGAGAATTGTTTACAACACGTATCGCTGGCCTTTCGAATCGCAATAGTAGTTAGCTTAGACAAAACAATCTCTCGGATTTTTACGCGTAAACGAAAAACACTCTACGATCGAACAAGGTTTATAAAACGTATCGAATCGACAGTCATCGAACGATGGTTACGTTTTTTTACAGAATTTTTTGACGGTATACAAGCACTTACGCTCGTAAAACGCAGTACTCGAAAAAAATCAAGTTACACAGGGATCCCGTAAGCGTAAACAAAAATAACGAAGCGCACCGAACGAACTACGAACGAAAGATCATCCACCCTCGACGGCCAGCGGCGTACTAATGTCGGTGGCCATGGGAGGACGGATGTGTGTCTGCCTTACCGGCGCAAGCGTCTCTTCACGAAGGAAGAGCGCAGATCACTGATACCAGCGCAACGCTACCGCCAAGAGGATACGGCACAAACACACATCGATTGTATAGAATACCTGTTGAATGTCGAGAGTTAGCGGCACGCGTTGCCGCGGTCAACTAAATCGAAAAGCGGGCGAACGAACGAACAGACCGGGTGAAAGTACAACGTACAACAACCTTCCCCTCTAATCCGACGGTGTGACTTTTTCTTCTCGATCGATGCTCGCGCACGTCGAAACTTTTGCCGTTCAGATGATTTACGGGAACGGACGGGTTCCGTAAATGGAATAGCATAATGAATGTTTACACGTACAAAAATAGGAAATGATTAGAGAGCTTCGCAAAAGGCGAGACACAATTTATTGCTCTGCTGTTATTTCTGTATGGTTTAAGAAACGATTTTATCATTTTGTGTATATTTTGGAAAATGTGGTATCCTTTATCTTGTATACCTTATACGTTCCTGTTTTTATTTTGAATCTCTTGAGCAAACTTGATTCGCCGTAGTTCTTAAAGGTATTTGAAGCATGTACGTAAAACACATTCACTTTTATTTCTCTTTCGACCGTCTCAAGGATCAAATATAAGAATAAAATAATCGGGAACTTGTTTATAAACCGGATACGTACCAAGGACAGTATACGCTTTATTTTTACGCCTTTCTAACTTGTTTTAAGTATTTCCCATAGCAACAGTCGCTTCTTCTTTAAAAATATCCTGTGTTCACCGACTGCACGTAATTTATCCGCCTAATAAAACGAAATGAAGTTTGAAATTATCTGTATACGATTGCGATCTGCGGTTTCTTGCAGCACGTATCGTGAAAGAAAAACAGGAATTGTAAAGTCAACAGAACTCTTCCTATCGCAATCATGACAATCATACGCCTTGCGTTTGCATTCTGAAGAAAATTCATAATTTCTCGTGGCAGCATATACGATTTCTAATCAAATAAAAAAGTGAAAACCTTTTAAGGATTCTGAAAAATTGAAAAATCTTCTCGTTTCATTATAATTATTTATTTATTATAAAATTATGCTTCCAACAAATCTTAAAGGAATATATGCATGCATAGAATCGAATCGATCGAACAGGCGATCAATAAAAAAATTCTTTTAATCGAACATTGATACACAATTCTGTACGTGTTCCATTGTAGATTGATATCTCTAAATTCGAAGCGAGTCGCTGTACATGTGGATCATTCCGTTTCCTTTTTTTGTCCTTTTTTATTAATACTTTTTTTAAGTTTCTTCATCAAACAATAATTCGTAGAAGTTTATGTAAGGAAGAACAGAGATCAATAAGCTGTCTACGATAATGATTCTTCTTTTCTATTACATAATCCTTGCTCCCCCTTACATAATATGTGAAGTTATGTATTCGCGTAAGTCGTTCTTTTGTCTACCTACAAAATACTCGATTGTTGGCTGCTCTTATCATAAAAAATGTATAAAACATTGCTTAAAATGAATTTTCGAATTCACGCGAAATAAGCCATACGACGTTTAGAAGAAAATCGTCTCTACGTCGAATGAAATCAGATTTCATTTTCATTCTTAATCTTTTTTCCTTCTTCTATATGTACAATTTAAGCTTGGCGTAATGCGGGAACGGAAGTCGAAAAAATTCGATAATTCTCGACCAACGATGAGTCAGTAACAGTCTTCAAAAGTTTCAAGCAGGAATTTGAACGGAGCCGTTTGACCTAGTATGAAATTCGTAAACTCCAAAAATATATCATACCTACATATCATTATAATGATATACGTAAAAGAATAGACGTAGCAAGAGACGATACTTTGAAACATGCATTATCAGAGAAATTCTTTCCTCAAAGTTTATTAGCTATTTGCTTTTTTTCGATTGACTTCAACGATCGAACAGTACAATGTAATCCCGATTATCCGCATTAATCCGGAAAGTTAGAAACAAAACAATTTAAAAGTGAAAAATAATAGAAGCGATAAGTGTAACGACTGGTTGCTCACCTGAAGGAATAATACTGAAAATATAAACCTATTCAAACAAAACCGTTTTACTAAAAATACTTTTATTATTAAATACTTGTTGCGCAAGATACAGTGTTTCCAATCAAATCTTTCAAAAATCCAAACACATTCGCACCGATTCAATGAAGTCTATCGAGATTACACTGCACTTGATAATAAAAATTATTATCGACAAGAATACCCATATTTTATGGTTTTCATAACAAAAACAGCCATTCTCCTTCTGAAGGGACGATTAAATAGTAAATAAATTTTTCTTCTTTTTATATTTATCTCATTTGGCTTTAATTTCCGTCGTTTTAATAAGTGCTAATCGTATTTCTATTCTCAACAAGTTTCATCCCTTACAATGTTTAAACATAACAGCCTGCCAGCAGCGTAAAGACTAAATGGTTATCTCGCTTAGATCGTTCTTTTCTCTTTTAAACTTCATTATTTCTTTCTATCCTCCGCCTTCTTCTCCCATTACGTTTTTTCTCTTTTGTTAGCAACGAACTAATATAACGTTTTTCTTTTCGTTTTTGTTTCTCAAACTGACGAGGGCAACGACGCAACGTTCACTTAAACGTCCTTGGGACTTGGGAAAGATTTATGATGACGATTATACTATTCGATAACGTCGCGCTTATAACTCGTTGCATATTATTTCTTCTTTTTCTTCTTCTTTTGTTTAACGATTCTTAATTATAGGCCTCTGGCAGAGGCGATTCTTGCGAATGCGTTCCACAGGCATCTAGGCACGACAGATATAAAAGTAGTACGTTCAGGAATATTCAGATTTGTAACAATCGATATTCTAAAATAGTGCTATCACGTTCATCTAACTCTAAAACGATGTTTTCACTTCTTTTTGCAATTTTTTCACTTTTCTTCCACTTTTTTATTTGCCGCTAAGTTACGAGCTGGTAGCGTTTGAAGCAACTATATATCACTTGTATGTTATTTAATGTCTGTCGTTTGCGCATCAATGGGAACCTCGCTCAGAAGAGTAGCGCCTTGGACAATGCATACTAAAATTTGCTTTTTTTTTTATCATTATTAATACAACATCAAGCAAGTGGTCAATCCTCTTTGACCGCTTTTGTATCGTGACCGCGTTGTATTCGTATAAAACTTTTTTGTTTATTTGGAATATGTATAGAGTGAGAGGGTTTTTGATAAATCATACATTCCTATGATATGAAGAGAATCCCCCGCCAAAAGCAAGACAACATACATCTTAAAAACGAACGTAAACGGGTTTTCATTTATGTAAACTCTGATACAGAATTTGATGTTTACGTCTGGATTTCATGTCGAATACAATAGACAATTTAAGAATGTCAGGGAGTACTTATGGATGCGAGAAAACTGTCTTATTGTCAGCGATAGACTTCCCCATACGCAAGAAATCTACAATTTATAAAATACTCTGTGTGCATATATACAGAGTGACTCAGTAACTTTATCAAAAGAGAATATACTCGTTACTTTTAATAATACGAAGAGAAACGGAAAAGAGAATATCGAAGAATATGATTCCGAGGAAGAATATTTTACATTACAATACGTGAACTGAAAAATTTGTTCGTCTGGCAGTATCATAAAAATAATGGATACATCGACCTGAAACAAAGTTACTAAGACACCCTAAATATACTTAGGGCCCTTATTCACTAGGTTCTTCACATCTCCATGATTTTTTCTTTTTTTATTAGCAATTACGTAATATCTGCATAATTCTCGCAATATCTTATGTAAATCAACTCGAAGAGTATATAGGAAGTTATCAGCATTTTTTCCTTTTCTTTATAGTAATCTACTACGGACACGGATTACATCTTCCGAAAGTGCTGGGTGCAATGAGAGAAAGCTTTTTTTTCGTTTACCGAGATATAAAGAAAAAGATATCTTGCAATACACATCTCGTTAGTTTCGATACAGGAGGAGGTATTTGGGGAAGGGAATAAGAGATAATTACGACATTGTTGGCTTCTCTATACGATCAATCTCTGTTCTGCAGACGGTTCCCCGTCGAGTGTGATAATGTCCATCAATTAGAATCCGACTCATCGCTGTTTCGTACTACTCTCGTTCTTCGAAAAAGCTAACTCCCAATATCACTACAGCAAAAGAGAGGATACATGGGAAGAAATTGCGGTAGAGACTAGCAATTGTTGGGATCCGGTGGAGTGACGAGGTATTCGTCGGCGCGTTTGTGGTCGGACAATGCCCGCATTGTGTATGTGTCTTGGGGTAAATCACTTTTCCTTCGCAGAAGTGGCTTCGCTTTATTGGAATTATTCATTTTCTTCGCCTAACGACAACAGAACATTTATTTTAGATCTGATGTAAGAAAAAGAGAATGAAGAGTTTCAATCGAACGTACCTCGTTCGCTTTCGCTTCTATCTTCTCCAATGTGAGCGGAGTTTGGTCCGTATCTCCGTCCTCGTCAGGCGGTGGACTGTCTAACTGCTGCTGTGATATCGTACTAGACATTGTATTCTGCTGTATACCCTTTATAGTCGTGTTGTAAGCTGGATGTTTCATTGCTAATTGCTCAATACGCGACCACGCTTCGTCCCTATCCTTCATTAGCTTCCTCTCTCTCTGACGATCCTATGAACGTTAATGAATATTATTATTATTCACTCTCTTTTTATGACAAAGGAAAACGTACCTGATAATACTGTTGCGTGCATTCATCAAATACTTTTTGATTCATCTCCATAAAAATTTTCAGTGCATTGTAGATTAAACCATGAATGGTTTTGTTCCAATGATTACGGGAATTTCTGTAAAATGCTGGGTACATGATTGGCAGAATGACAGAATAGTTATCCGATATAAGGGACATGATATATTCGTTGTTCCAGTAATAGAGAGCTCTTTCAGCCACCTACAGAAGATAAGTACTAAGTAAGCGAGTCCAAATAATTAGATAAGAATTTTGCGAAACGAATATACCTGAAAATGTGGAGATGATACGCATTTTGCTAATTGTCTAAACAATGGGTCCATAACTTTTTGGAATTCCGCCGGTTCGATCACGTCCAGGATCTCTTCGAGTTCGTTTAGAAACATGACTTCCTTCGGGGAATGTGTTTTCGGCCAAAACTTCAAGAGGCTTCTGATAACAGGTTCGGTCAAAGATGGATCCTTTTCCAAAAATTGAACTACACAATATGCCAACTGAGGGTGATATACAGAGAGCGATTTGGCTTTGTGCAAAGGTAATAGCACCTTCAATAGAAATATTTTATGTTCCTCCTTCAGTGGCAATGCGAATCCGTTTATTATACTGAAAAACGAAAGAGATCGATGAGTACAACATCTGTAGAAAGTTATCATTTTGACAAAAATGACTCAATGTTACCTTCCCAAAATCTCGAGAAGTTCAGCGATACCATTATGATGTTCGGTCTCATATATAAATCGATAGAAAACGTTGTTTATTTGTTTTCTGATATAAGCTCTGAGTCCCAAAAATTTCCCATAAATCCTATGAAGGGTAGTCTTCAGGAAATCTCTCTCCCGTGGATCTTCCGAGTCGAATAACTCCAATAGCTGCAGCACGAACTTTTGGTCTATGTAACGTCTTGCGATGGACGGCTGAAAATCTTGAGATTCCAGCAATCGCAAGAAGAACTCGTAAACGAGTTGCAAGTGAGGCCAGGCCGCCTCTAACGTCGGCTCATCCTCTTCCGGGTCGAACTCTGCCGCATTTGGGTTCGAGGACGGTGGAAGAGTGCGGAACAAGTTTACTGCGAACTAAAGACGATAACATCACAATTTTAATGTGTAATCTTATCATGAATGAATTATCATCAGATAATGAAACTTCGTTTGCAAACGAATGGACTAGTGATCTCTCACCATGTTCACCGCTTCAGGATAAATCGCCTCTGTGATCACATTCTTGTTCTTGGTGACATACTCGACCATTTCGTTTAGGGCGGTACGCTTCACCTCCTTCCATTTTAAATCCGATAAAGGATCGGATTCGAAATCGAACAACACACAACATTGCCGTAGTTTCTGGATAAATAGTTCTTCCCTTTCGTTCCCTTGTTGTGTTTCTGTAAATGCACAAAAATAAAGACCTTTAATGTGTTGAAAGTTTTCAAAATAATCAATCGGTTCTAAGTTAAGCAAGCATAGACTCGATCTACACCTGCACTACTATTAATCCTGGAATAATTGCTTTCCCTTTCAGGGAATAACAGGTACACTCGAACGCACCTCTTACACAATATTTTGTCACCCCTTCTCACTTATACAACCATGCCTCACAGTTCTAATGAAGTTATTCTTCTTCAGCTCTCATACTTCTATTCTCCATAAATTCTCCTTACTGTACAAATAAATCTGTCAGCCTCGATTCATACTACTATTAAACGTTTTCTCTCTTCTATATTCTCAATTTCTAAAACTATCTCTCATAGCGAACTCCTCCGTTTCTTGCATTCTTCCACCACACTTTTCCTAAATTTTTTTCCTTCGTACATTTTATTACTCTAAAATACCATCATAAACTTTTATACTTCTTGCTCTTAAACCTACCCACAATTAAAAAGCATTGATTTCATCAACTGTTTCATATAATACATCTCTTTTCTTATCACTGTTTCTCTTTCAGTGATTCGTTCATTCATTCATAAATTACTTGTACCCTTTTGGACTCTTCCATGAACTTATCTTCCTGACTCTCTCTCTCTCACACAGACACACGCACATATCTCACCCTATTTCATTGATCTCATTCTCTCTCATGCATATATCGTTCTTATCTCATCGTATCTTCCTTTTGACATCTCATATGTATATCTAACAATTAGAACGGATGAGGTAAAAAAGCAACTATAAAAGTTTCATTACCGATTAATAAAGGACGTAACGGTTGATAATGTGAAGTAAAATTAGTGAAATAAGGTTTATTCGATTCTCGTGATAGTACAGATGCCAAAGCGAGTCCCTGGTGGAAGCTCGGACTTTTCGGCAAACCACCAGTCGAAAAAGGAATATATCCGTCTACATGAACCATCCTATCGATTAATACTGTCTACCGTCTCAGTAACTGTCACAGGGATGTCTTCTGTTTTATGTAGGCCGGTTCGTGGTAAATTACATTCTACACTTCGATACCGGTTTTCTTGCGCACGTAACAATCTGTTGCTTCTACAAAACTGGCCGTTCTTTCGTGCAAGAACCGGGCATATTTAGATTCATACGGCGATACGAATAGCACTATAATTTTTAGCACGTATCGTCGCTAAACTGATTGGTCTCGGGTAGACGTAGATGAAACTGTTTAATATTCGTTGTGTATTTGAGTGAAAATGGACAGCCACGGATATCGATGACTGCTTGAACGAGGAAGGACTGTTTACGTTAGAAAAGTAGGAATCTCGAGCAACATACATGCGCGCATGCTTGAACCACCGCGCCTTACAATCGATACGTTCTGACGTAGGTGATTTCGCAATTCTATGCGGCCGGAATGAAAAAAGCAGAAGTAACTAATTAACTCTTGTCTCGATGTAACAGCAGTAATTTCAGCTACAAGCAGAAATTATAGAATGTAGAATTTAATCAACGAGATCTAACTGATAAAAAGATACACGAACGCTTTTAACTTTAACATCGTATCATCGTTACACAAGCTGAAATTTGTATGGTAACAAGGATATCGATGCAAGATTCATTTTTCTTTCATGAATGAAAGTTGACGCCTGCTCTTATGGAATGTCAACTGTTAAATTACTGATTAGTAAATGAATATTTAAGTCCACGAATCATTTAGAATGCATCGATTAGAAAGAGGTCTTCAGAAATTTCTGATCGATACGTCGATCATTTGAGTATTCTCGTCCTTCAGAAGTTTTCCCGTAGGCTATTTTACTTCAGCGTCTTCAAAAGGTTTTATCACTCGATTTATAGTAATAATTACATGTCTTTAACGTTTTAATTATTATTGATCCTGAATTGTTACAAATATTATCTTTACTACAATTAAAATATACGTTCATACACAACTTTGTACCACGTGTTAGTACCACGAGATTTTTTTAAACACATTCCATCGGTCGGTTTAAAGTTTAAAATATAGGTCACCGATGCATCTATATCATTCGACACGAACTGCCTACATCAAATCATTTCACAAAGTTTTTAAACTGCCTGAACTTTTAAGTTCTAGCGGCAATATACCATGAATTCCAAAGTTAATAAAATGAAATTTTTATTTGCTCAACTTGGTGCGTTTTATATATCATGAATATTTTTTTAACTCGATAATAATTTTGAGGAATATTTATCTATTGATAAATCAAATGATTTTATACTTCGAAGAAGTACCAAAATAACAATGCGCTGTAATCTAACTTACATAAAGCAACGGAAAATACCTAATAAGGTACAACCTGAGATATCCTTAACAGGCTCATTACGCACAGTTTATTCTTAGCAAGGATAATAATGGCAGGGTTTATTGCTACTATTTCGATGGACTACTATACTAATCCATGATTATGGGGTAATCACTGGTACTGAAAGCTCACCGATTTATGCAGAGAATCTGAATCAATAACAAATTTTGACGAAACTCGCAAAGAGAAATTAATAGAGAAATTATTTCGTTAGGTCGAATAAAAGTTTCACGAGCAATAGCTGTTTTAACAATCAAATTCAATATCTAATTCAATATGTAACTATGGAAAAAACCAGAGCGTATTTTATATTTAGCAGAAATCCTTATTTCCGATCATTTTTAGTATTATTAATTACAGGACTAAAAAGCGCATTTTCAAGTTAT